GTGTGGAGGAAAGGGGTCTAGATCTCGAGTAAGAAAACCCAATTCCTCCACTTAGACGCTACAGAGGGACTAACCACAAACCTCTCTGAGTCTCACCTGTAAAATGGGGATAATAATAATTACAACATAGATAATTACAACATAAATGTGCCAGGTGCTGTCCGAAGCACTACATGTGAACTATCTCATTTAACCCTCATAATAATCCTATGAGGTATGTACTTCTTATTACCCTGAGGCAGTCTGGCTCCTAACTATTTATACTATGCTGCCTCCCTCGAAGGTGAAGGTGGAGCCTTCCTCATCGGGCTATTGCAAGGAGGATTTAGTGGGCCAAAGTTCCTAGCAGAGTGCATGGCCCAGGGCTGGTGCCCCTTAATAAGTCTCTGCCACCCAACACTAAAACATAAATCTGTGAAAGTCTTGGTTTGGAAATGGCATTGTTCTGGCTGGTCCCAACACGGGTGACCTTGCAACTGCATCTTTTGGGCTTCCACACCACTCCCCACCCCCCACCCCCCGCCCACTGGTGGCATCTGCTGCAAGGGAAAATGGGACAAGATCCTGTACTTATGGACCCTATCACTCATCTGTTTCTGAAAAACAGAGTTAGTATCCGGCATGGGAGTCAGGCAGACCTCGACTCAAGTCCCAGGCCTGCCACTCACACTGGTCAGGCAACTTCGCAGGCCTCAGGTTCCTCATAAGTAAACCAGGGACTGAAATATAACCTACATCACATTGCTGGAGTTCAGTCAATGGTAGCTACCCAGGTCAGAAAAGCTGGACTCCTGTGGCACCACAAGGGTACATTCCTAGGTGGGAGAGAGCTGGTCTGAAGGGGAACAGATAGTCTGCAGTACAACCCATTCCCCCTGTGATGGCCGAGGCAAGAGTAGGTACACGAAACAGGGTCTGGGAGTAAAGCCTGGCACAAGCCCCAACCTTCTCTTAAGGTTTCTGTCACGCCTCATGCAAACATATACATGCTTGCATCTATATTAAACAAGACTTTTCCCCCTTAAACATAAGGTAAGAGTGATGTCCACCCCACCCCTCACTACAATGTAAACTGGGAGGATGCAGACTCTTGTATGTCTTGCTCACCACCACATCCTTGGCACATAAAGTAGAGCTAAGCCCAGAGTAGGCACTTAATAAACATTCACTGCATTAACGTTATCCTGTAGCTTCGGGTACCCCCTAACATGCCTCTGTATTTGCCAACTGTAAGCACTTATCAGCCTGGGCAGCAGGATTCTGAATTGTCGATGTACCTGCCCAGCCACCCATCTCCCTGCGCTGTCAGTCATCTGTCTCTTCCACTCCCATGGAATGTATAAGACTTCCAAGTAATAAACAGGAATATCTGCTTCCAAAGGTATCATCTCCTTAAACTCAAACTATCGACTATTGGCTTCTTTTTTCAAACTTCCACCAAAAAGAGGCCAAAAACCAGTGCCATCAAATCAATTCCGACTCATAGCAACCCTACATGACAGGATAGAACTGTTCCATGGGGTTTCCAAAGTTGTAATCTTTACAGAAGCAGACTGCTACCTCTTTCTCCCTCAGAGCAGCTGGCAGGTTTGAACCACTGACCTTCTGGTTAGCAGCCAAGCACTTACCCACCACGCCACCAGGGCTCCTTATAAAAAGAGGCCAGTTGGGTCTAAATGAATAGGGCTGTATATACGTGTTGGGTCTCGGTTGAACTATGTATCTCATCCACACTAGGAGACTAACCAAGACACATTAGCGTCAACTATATTGTTTCACCTTATAACAATACCACAAGCTTCTATCAGCTCCTGTCAGGCAAAACCATCTGTGAGCTGGACTGACAACTCAAGACCGGGCCACTGCAACAGCCCTACCACCCAGCACTGGAATCATAATTCTAACCTGTGTAAGGAAAAGTGCTTTGAAACTGTAAAGCACTTAAAAAGTTATTACCTACTAAGGGAATGCAAATAAATTCCATTTGCCTATGCAGTTTTAACTGAGGAGAAACCGTTGACAACAAAAATCATGGAATTCATTCCAAAGTCAAATGCATTTCAGATTACCGAACTGCTATGTTCCCCCATGACTGAGATCTAGTTGTTTTCTTTACTGTCAAACCTAGTAAAAAGAAAAACTTCCACAGTCTTCATTCATTTATCTACGATGCAACCCCACATCACCACTTCCGTTTTAACCCAACTGTCTACACTGGTTTATTAGTCAGGGTATTTAAGTAGGGGATAAACTGAACAATAATCAGCAAGAAATTATTTATAAGCCTAGGGGATACTAAGAACAAGTTACTGAGAATTAGTGTGAAATCCAAGAGACCAAGTTCATGGATATAGACACATTCCAAAAGAGAGCATTGCAAGCCATTTGCTTCAGTGCCAGACACAGTTCTCGGCACTGGGAATACAGCTATGGAAAACATAAGACAAAAATCACTGCCCTCAAAGAGCTCACATTCTCACCCAAGCTAAACTATTAAATGAGATCTTCTATGCAAAGAGCCTAGTACACAGTTAGTAGTCAATAAATACTCCTCCTCCTTTCCCCCTCTGGGTCTCCCACTGCTATGGTTTTTAAACAGCGTCATTTACATCTTCCAACACAGGCAGGCAGCCTGGTACAGTGGGAGGAACTCAGTTTGGAGCTTGCCATTTGTGCTTCCTCTTCCACTGACCAGGCAACACCTTAAATAAGTTACTTCACACCCTAAGCCTCAGTTTCTTTACCTGTAAAACGGGAAAGCAACTACCCCCAAAGGGCTTTGTGTGGATTACATGGGCTCATATAGATGAAGCACACAGCACAGTGCCTGGCACCTAGGAGGCCCCCAGGAAATGTTAGTCCTTTTCCCTCATCTCTTCCATAGTCTTTTCAGACTGTCCAAATGAGAGCCAAGTACAGAACTCTTGTGGAGCCTCAAGTGCCATCATGCTCTTCCTGGGTCATTACAGGCACCGTCCCATCAAATCTCATCAGAATCAGGCACCCAGGAGGCCAAGGCCAAACGTCTCTCCCTGCCTGATATGCTGTCTCTGCAGACCTGCCTCTGCAGCCCCACCTCTCCACTCACCACTCCATCCACACACACCCGCTTTTGCCCTGGGGGCACACTTACAAAACTTCAGTCCACTTTTAAAGTCCTCATCCCATAACTGTCCTGGAGAAACCCTTGCCTACCGAGCCCCAGGGCTAGGTCCACCCCCCACGCAGCCAGCTCTGGATCAGTGCTATTGGAGAAGTCCAATAACATTAAAAATGGCACTGGCCATGTTTTTAATCAGTATACAGGAATGCAGCAAGAAAATCCTTAGCCAGGCTGAATCAGTCCCCTATTCAGCAACACCCCTTGATTAAATAATGAACCAGGATCCTCAAACCCCTTGGGGCCCGAAGTCTAAACACAAGCATCCGCCCAGTGCAGGGCGGGAGGAACCCCACAGCAGGGCCCTGATGCAGCAGGTGGATGGGCTCAGCACTGTCAGTCTCATATCCACAGGTTCCCTGACTGTGTGAAACAGAAGCCCTCTGGCTCTTCCAGCCTGGGTGCTGGGTCTGCCCTGCAGAAGGTTCCAAAGTGGAAAGAGAGCAGACTCCCATGTGAGGGGCTCTACGGACCTATGTGAAACCCCAGGCCTGTCAGATCAGCCAGACAGCAGCACCTGCCTTCATTACCAAAACAAACACCACAAGTGGAGTTCTCTCCAGCCCCGTCTAGCTCACCTGATCCGAGGCACCTCCATAATCAGCAGTTCCAACCCTCACGAGCTGACAGTTCAGGGGAAAAGGGAGGCTGCGCCTGCTAGGGTGCATCGTGTCCAGGCCTTATGTTGGACTCAGGTCCTGGAGGCGCCCCAAAGGCTAAGGCCTCACAATAGCGATTGTGTGCTCATCCCTGTCCTGTCGGCTCCCCTACACTCAGCCCTCCCGTCCCACTCATGCCCCGACGCCGCGGGAACCCGCCGCGCCGAAGGACACTCCTCAAGCACCGCACCCACCGCACCGGCTGCACGAAGGTGGAGGAAGGCCCACAGCGCGCTGCGCTGCCTTCCGGGCACACAGATGCCCGCCCTTCCCTTACTCACTCCCAGGCGGCCTCCCCAGGAGGAGCAACCCTCAACCTGAGAAGGCACAGCACTGTGACCACCCCCACGCTGGCTGGAGAGCTCCCCTCGCTCCCATGCCGAGAGAGAGGCTGCTAGGAAGGTTCGTTCTAGGTATAGGGGAGGGAGCCACCTGGGTCAAGGGGCAGGGCAAGGAGCACGGCCCTGGTGGCACGGTAAAGTTGGGGGGCGTAGGCCCAGGCTGCACTAAGAATGGTAGCAAGGGGGGGCCCATAAATGGGAGGTGAGGTCCAGGCAGGGACCATGAAGGAGAGAAAGTCCGGACTTAACAGTATGGGAGGGGAAAGAAGGTTCAGGATGAGGGAGGAGAGGGGGTACAAATCTAAGGTAAAGCCACTGGAGGGAAGTGGGAAGTGATGGAGTTCCAGGCCGGGACCACGGAGAGGGGAACAGAGTGCAGTGGGAAACGGCGGCCTACCCTGGGCCATGGGAGGGAGAAACGTTGGCCTAGTGTGGGCCGTAAGGCAGGACAGAAGAGTACCTAGCCTGTGCCATGGGGAAGGGGAAAGGAGGACCACGTCTGGGACACTGGAGGGGGTGCCTGGCCTGGACCACGGATAAAGGATGGTCTAGCCTGGACTATCAGGGAAACTAGCCTGGACCCAGAGGTGGAGACTGGGGCTCCAGCTTGAGCCAAGGGCGAGGGCTGGGAGGGACAGACAGGGTCAATGAACAACCAAGCCTCCCGGGCCGGCAGCCCCCTGCTGAGCTGGTAAGGATGGTGTCTACCTAGGGCCCGGGACCCCGCCCCTCCCCCACCCCCGGGAACACTCCCTTCACTGGCCGGGGCTCGGTGGGGGAGGGGAACGCGAGCGCCGGCGGGGCCCCCGGGGCTGGAGGAGGGTGACGTCGGGCCTTTACCATGGTGGCGGCGGCGACAGCGGTCCCAGTCCCGGCGTTTGTGACTCTCCCCCCCGCAACAGAGCCCGGCGCTTCCACTTCCCCGGGTGCCCAGGAGTGAACATCCGGGTCAGCGCCCCCCTCCCCCCGCGCCGGGCCGCCGCCACCTTCACTTCCCCGCCCCGGCCCGGGGCCGGGCCCGCCCCCCACGCAGCCAGGTCTCGGCCAATGAGCGCGCAGGGCCGCAGCGATCACCAAGTAAGGAGCGCGGCGCGGGGGGAGGAGCGTCGAATGGGGAAGTGAGGGGCGGGGCGGGGCGTGGTGGCAAGGCCGGCAGAGTAGGCGGGGTGGGGGATGAGGCTGGACTCCGGGGGGGGGGGTTCGGTGAGCTCCAGGACGGAGCCGCTGGTTCTGTGCCTGCCTGCAGAAGCGGTGGCAGCAGAGGGGCCGTGCCCACGGGCCTCCTGGACGGGGATGCGGAAGGCACTGGACTTGAGAGGGAACAGTCCCTCCCGGACCCACCCCGTGCACGCGCTTACGCCTGCGATGGACCCGGAACTGGTGCGGACTCGGGCAAGCCCAACCCCCAGAGACAGTGTTAAGAGGAGCGGTGGCTACAAGCTTGGGCTCCGGATGGAACGCGGGGTGTAATCCCATTCCTGCCCCGCCGCCCTTGGCTATGTGTGGGACCTGGAACAAGTCACTGCACCTGAGCCCGGTCTCTAAAGAAGAGCCTCGAACCACACCATTTATCGAGCGCCTGCTGTATACCAGGCCCTCTTTTAGGCACCAAAAGATAACTAACGTGAATAAGACATAAAGGTCAATGCCCTTTTAGCTACCTACTACAGTGTAGTTGGGAGGTCAAGAGGAAACTGGGCTCAATAAATGTTAAGTGTTATGAGTACCTTCAGATGTGCTACAGAGAACCAGCCCATTGCCCGATGAGGCTGCCTCACTCCACAGAGTAACTCTGAGATTCTTTTTTTTAATCTCCTCGTCCAACAGATATTTGTTGAGCTTGGTCTAAAAGGCAAGAGACCAGGAATGCTAGTCCTACTAATAATATCTGTCCTGCTGGCTCTCTTTGTTTAGAATCAAATCAGGTCACATGTGAGAGGACGTAAAGTGTTGCACAAATGACAAATTATTACCACCAGCCAAACCCTTTCCTAGGCTCCTGTCCTCAGGAAGCTCACAATCCAGTAAACTTTACGTAGATAGCCATAGGCATAAAAAGCCACAGAGATAAATCCCACAGAAATGTTACAGACGGGTATTACAGAAATTCAGAGAAGGGAATGGTACTTGCAAATTCTTTCATTCAACAAATATTTATTGAGCACCTACTATGTGCCCTGGTGGTGCAGTGGTTAAGAGCTTGGCTGCTAGCCAAAAGGTCGGCAGCTCAAATCCACCAGCTGCTCCTTGGAAACTCTGTGAGTCAGTTCTACTCTGTCCTATAGGGTCACTACGAGTCGGAATCTACTAGATGGCAACGGGTGTGATTTTCTAATGTGCCAATGTGGGGATATAGCAGTGAAAAACATTCCATGTTGTCTTGGAGCGTCAATGTTGCAGGGGAGAGAGACAATCAGCTAACAAGTTAGTATAGTATGTCAGGTGGTGTCTTAGTCATCTAGTGCTGCTATAACAGAAATACCACAAGTGGATGGCTTTAACAAAGAGAAATTTATTCTCTCACAATGTAGGAGGCTAGAAGTCCAAATTCAGAGCAGCAGCTCCAGGGGAAGGTTTTCTCTGTCTGTTAGCTCTGGGGGAAGATCCTTGTCATCAGTCTTCTCAGCGCAAGGACCCTTGTTCCAAAGGACACGCTATTCTCCTGGCTCTTGTTTCTTGGTGGTATGAGGTCCCCATGTCTCGCTGCTCAATTCTCTCTTTTATTATCTTAAAAGAGATTGACTTAAGACATAACCTAATCATGTAGATTGAGTCCTGCCTTATTAACATAACTGCTGCTAATGCTGCCTCATTAACATCTTAGAGGTAGGATTTATAACACATAGGAAAATCACATCAGATGACAAAATGGTGGACAATACTGGGAATCATGGCCTAGCCAAGTTGACACACATTTTCGGGGGACACAATTCAATCCATAACAGATGATGATTACTGATGTGAAGAAAAAAAGCAGAGTAAGGGAATTGGAAGGCAGGTTAGTAAAGTGGGTCTGTGTTTTGGAGGACAGTCGAGGGAGGCTTAGATGATAAAGTGTCATTTGATCACGGAACTGGAGGGAGGGAGTAAGCAAGCCATGTGGGTATCAGAAGCACACGGAACAGCAAGGGCAAAGGCCCCAAGGGGAACATACCTGGTCTGTTTAAGGAGCAGCAAGGAGGCCAGTGTGGCTGGCCTAGATTGAGAAAGGGGTGAGTGGTTGCGAGCTGAAGTCAGTGAGGTGCAGAGCAGTGACAAGATCTGAATTCAGCATTAAAAGGATCAATAGGCTGCTGTGTTCTAAACAGACTGTAGGGGGACTAGGACCTTTAGAAAGCTATTTCTATAATCAAGGCATTTTTATGTATTTAAAAAACATTTCTATGGTGCTTCCTATGTGCTGGACCCTGTTAAGCACTTCACAAACATTAACTCATTTAATCCTCACAACAGAGGCCTGAAGAGGTAAGGACTTGCCCAAGGTCACACAGCAGAGACATGAAGGTGGCTTGAACCAGGGGAGCAGCAGTGGACGTGGCAAGAAGTGATCAGATTCTGGATATTTGCTGATGAGCATGAGAAGAAAGGAGTCAAGAATGATGCTAAGATTTTTAGCTTGGTCAACACTGGAAAGATTTGTCGTTTATTGATATAAGGAAGACTGTAGGAGGAGCAGGGCTTGGGGGGAGGGGAGGTAAGAGTCAATTTAGGGCAAGTTGTTGGAGATGCCTATTGGAGATTTAAATGGAAACTGAGAAAGTAATAGGATATGGGAGTCTGGAGTTTGGGGAAGAGGTTGGGGCTGGTGATAAACTTTGAGAACCATCAGCTAACTTAAAGGCATGAGACATCTGGGAGAGCTCACTTAGAGGATGAATGTAGAGAGAAGAGGTGAGGAAGATAAAGAGGAACCAGCCAGGAGACTGAGAAGGAATGACCCAGGAGGTGGGAAGAGGACCAAGACAAGGTGGTGTCCCTCCAAGAAGGTAAGGAATAAAGGCATCAAGAAAAGTTTTGTGAAAGAAGTGACATTTGAGCTGTTCACTTGAAAATACAATTGAAAGGAAGCCTTGTTGTTCAAAGAGCATTACCGATATTTTCTCATTTAACCCTCATTACAACCCTATGAGGGAACTACTATGACTACTTCTATTTTACAGATGAGGAAACTGAGGCATAGGGGTGTTAAGTAGCTTGCCCAGGATCACACAGATAATGAGTTCAACCTAGGCAGTCTGAGACCAGAGCCTACAGATAACCCCAGGTCTGATCACCTTGCTTCCCTACTCGAAGACCTTTGAAAGCTCTCACACTACTTAATAAGGCTCGCAAGGCCATCTAACAGTCTGGGTTCAATCCAATTTACTTTGCACAAGCCCACTCTACCCCTAAACCTTCCTCTTGTTCCCCAAGCCCTCATTGCCCTTTCCTGCCCCCATGACTTTGCTCAAAATGTTTTTTTGCATCAGTAAGGTCCTCTTCAGCAAAAAGGAGGGGTGGCAGGTAGAAAAATCTTATAGTATAAATTTCAAGGAGGTTGGAGTTTTTGATGGAGGAGAGGAGAAACTACTAAAAATACTTGTGGTCCCTGCCTGCCTACACACAGTCCCCTATAGGTGGCCATGTTTAATACCACATGAGGCCACACCCACAGTAATAGTTGATCGGTCTAGGGGTAGGCCCTGACCTATGGGCAGCCAATCCATGGACTGGCCAGTGACCTGCCCAATGACCTATTATGATGGTTAAGATTGTGTGTCAACTTGGCTGGGCCATGATTCTCAGTGTTTATATGTGATCACTCCCATGATGGAATCTGCTATGAGTAACCAATCAGTTGAAAGGGATTTTCCTTGGGGATGTGGCCTGTATCAGAATATAAGCAGAGTTCTGGCTTTTTGCTTGCTCTGGATCCTGTGGCTGCCTCCTGTTTGTCTGACCTCTGGTTCTTGGGACTTGAGCTATCAGCTTATCTGCCAATCTTGGGATTCATCGATCTTCACAGCCTGTGAGCGGGAGCTCTGCTCTCCAACCTGCCGATCTTGGGTTCACCAGCCCCTGCAGCTACGTAAATCGAGAGAAGCCTCTATCCTGATCCACGGACTTGGGACATTCCAGCCTGTACAATCGTGTTAGCCATTTCCTTGATATAAATCTCGTTATATATATATTTATACACTTTACTGGTTTTGCTTCTCTAGAGAACCCAGCCTAAGACACCTGTCATCGTTAAAAGATGAACTGGGCCAATCAGATTCTGTCTTGGGAATCTGAGCTATGAAACACAAAAAGATTTGCCAGTTAATAGAAGAAACTGTACAGACACTAAAAGAGGGACAAAGGCCTCCAGGATAGACCCCATACAGGCTGAATGTTGTGGGAATAGGGATATCAGCAAGCTGAGGACGTCTATCAGTAGAGGAAGAATATAGCAGACACCAAAACAACAGAATGGGGCCCCACGAAAGGTGGAGTAGCCTGTCCCTGAGTTCTATGTTGTTCCTGAGCCCTCTTGTTATGAGCTGACTTAACTGGCTCTCTGTTACTGGCTACAAAAAGCACCTGACTACAATAGCCACCCCTTACATGTTTTCTGTGGTCTTGCCATGCAAAGGGACTGACCACACGCTGCTTCCATCAGAATCTCTTGCTCGTTGTTCCTGCCGCTTCCCTGCCTGGCATGTTCTTCCCCTGCATCACTGCCTACTGCAGTCTTAACCATCTTTTGAGGCCAGCTCAAATGCGATTCCAATTTAAAATAGCAAAACAATTTTTTTGAACATCTAGTATATATAAGGCCCTAGGCCACGTGCTGAGGGAGGACAAAAATGAAAAAGGACTTCTGATTCAGTGCGGAAGACAGACAAGTACAAAAAGAACTGGAGTGTGAGGCAGAATGTGTTACATTTTGCAATAAGGGTAATAATAACAGCTACTGTTTTACTGTTTATTGTGTGCCTTTCTTATCGTAGGTTGTTCATGTACTTTATTTCTAGACCTCTCCACAGCCCCAAGGGTGGGTGTTTTCCTCCTTAATGTCTA